TAAAAAATCAATAAAATATATATAAAAAAAAAATGCCTTAACTACAAAATGACATCCTAATCCTATATAATAAAAGGGTAATACAGTGGGGCCTTGACTTACAAGTTTAATTCGTTCCATGACGGAGCTCGTAACTCAAATTACTCGTATGTCAAACCAAAAGTGAACGTGATGCTGGGCTGATGTTGTGGCGTTCACTGTTACGTTCGTTCACTGCGCCAACTAGCAGTGGGGTATCTGAAGCTGGCTCGTAACCCAAATTTTAGCTTGCAACTCAAAGCAAAAAAATCGGCCAAGAGAAGGCTCGTATCTTGAAAAACTCGTTAGTAGGGACACTCGTAAGTCAAGGCCCCACTGTATGCAAATTGTCCCCTTGACTGGGAGTTCCACAGGAGTTCCACCAGGGGGCAGGGCCAGCCTGCCAACTGTGCACCCACGCCCACCCACCCCCTCCCCCGCAACCCCCCACAGGGTGGGCAAGCCTGACCTCACCAGTGCAGGAATTCATGCACTGGGCTTCTAGTTAAGTTATAAGAAAGAATACTAGCTGAATTCTACAGGGAGGTACAATGCATCCACTTTTATCTGTGTCCCCAGAATAAAGCATTATTATGGGATTGTGTATGGTTTCACTTTAAAAGATGTCCAACCATAAAGGATGGGTAAATGAATGATGGTCCAACCATTTGAGGGTACACTGAATAGTTATTAGAGAGCATGCAGTTGGATGGAAATGCATCCTGGAGCGCTCTCCAGGTGTCAAACACAATTCCCGGAGCTATAGGTCATTACTTCTCTTTATAACAAAATGTTACAAAGCAGCGCATAAAGAGTGACCTCCTTTTCATAGAACAAACAAAATGTGTTTATGTGCATACATAAAGTTCAACACCAAAATATTAATATAAGTTCTTGATATTCTGAGTATAAGTGAGTGACTTTTCTGGATTTTCTAAATCTTTTACATCAAATACTTATTAGTATTGCCATACAAAAAAAGCAAAAAAGAGGGTTTAAAATAGCTACTGGAAAGAGGAAAGATCTGTTGCTCAGAGGTTTTTCCACATAATATTGCTAATTCCTTCCTACTCACTTCTTAGGGGTAGGGGGAACAAGGGGTCATCTGAGAAAGCACCTTTAGCCAGGAAATGAGCAAAGCTCAGAAGGTCAGAGCATAAAAGGCTGTATAAAAGGTGATGAGTAATACATTGGATAACAGAATCTTAAGTGTTTTTGTGTGTGCGTGTTACTGATACTACCATCAGTTATATTATATATACTAGTACTGTTAGAAAAAGGCAAGGTAGTAGAAAATTATTGTTAAGTCTATCTGAAATCTATACTAGGTTCTTGGAATGTCTCCTTGAAATAACTTGAAGAAATCATGTTCTTGTATTTCAGAGCATCATTCATGTATGATTTTGTATAAGTAACCAAATAATTCTCCTTTGTAGAAAAGCTTAAATAAGTAGGTATTTCTTGGTTTCCAGGGAAATTGATATAAAACTGTCTGAAATAAAGACATCAAAAGAAAACTTTCAATGTGCTTGTCTTTATATTTGGTGTTCTGACTTGTTTCTATGCAAACTTAATAGCAAATGCTGAAATTTGAGGTTTCTTGTATCATTTTATTGAATTTCCCCCCAAAATTAAAAACAAATTGAAATAAAATTTTAACTATCATGTTAAACATAAAAAGGTAAATTCTGTACTCATGAACTCTATTTTTTCAACTCTTCTGATTTAACACTCCTGATCATAGTCCTATGCTTAACCCTTACCTTTTACCTTTCCTGCTCTCTTACCAGTTTCTCTGCAAGTCCCTCTATATGAGGCATTCTTGGCTTCAATTTGAAGTCACCAGAACAAACTCTTTAAAATATATCAACTCGTTTACCTGGTAAATTCATGCTATTTCCTGACTTCTACTCTTTTATTCTTATTCATCATAAGGAATTTAGAAATATAGAATGGAGCCCTAGCCGGGTAGCTCAGTTGGTTAGAGCGTCATCCCAATACACCACGGTTTTGGGTTCGATCTCCATTAGGGCACATACAAGAATCAACCAATGAATGCATAAGTAAGTGGAACAAAAAATCAATATCTTTGTCTCTCTGTCTCTTCCTTTCTCTCTAACATCAATACATTTTTAAAAAGAAATATAGAATGGAGAGGTAAATGTTGCTTGAATTTGGAAAATAATGTTGATGGAAGAGGGCATAAATGGTGATGAAAAAAAACAAAACAGTAATTTTGATGGAAAAATCAAGACTGGAGTAAGTTAAGATAGGCCCACTCTATGAAAAAATTATAAAATATAAGCTGCATTCTAAAGAGGTTTTTAAGCACCAGAACTGAACTTGGTGTATCTATCACTTCCATGTCAGCTTTTCTGTCCAGAAGCTGTAGCTGTGTTACACAGTCATTTCAGATCTCTTTTTTGAAATATATTTTTGATTTCAGAGAAGGGAGAGGGACAGAGAGCCTCCTGCATCAAGCCCGCAACCTGGGCTTGTGCCCTGACAGGGAGTCAAACAGTGACCTCTTGGTTCATAGGCTGATGCTCAACCACTGAACCACCACGGCCCGGCCCATTTCAGACCTCTTTAAGTCTTGCTTTCTTCATTCGTAATATAGGGAGAACATATGCATGGGTCTTATTTGCAGTTAGCAGGGGCAAATGAGATATACACGAAAATGTGTTGTAAACCTTAAGAGAATACATAAAGGTCCTATTTTGGTCTCTCACTAACACTACCCATCTACTAACTGGTTCGTAAAATCACTCACAGGCTTACCTTACAGCACCTAAGAGCAAAGTTTTCACAAGTACTTACTTGCTTTGTGTTTAAAGGTACAATTAATTCACATAATTTGTTCCTTTTTTCCCTCACAATATTTGAATATTCTTAAAAGGAAGTACTTCCCAGTTACAAAGCCAAATCCAATGTCCACAGGCTTATTATTCTAACTTTTAAATAAATTGGATGCTCAACTAAAGTTTGAATAGAGTAAGAACTATAAAACATTTTCTCTATGAAATCAAATAACCTCTGGCATTTACATGAAACAAATGGGCCTTTAACATCTCATAACTCATTGTTTTCTACTTCAAAGAACAGTCTTTATGAGCCATGTTGCTACCCAGAATTATTTTAAAACAGACATTTCCTCTCTTCTCCCTCCGCCCTACCCAGCTGTTAGGTCTTGACAACTTTTACTCTGCGTTCTCCAAGGTGAACGGGGTCCTACGGGCAGGAGGGGAGAGGGAGGAGAGCGAGCCTCGGAGACCAGCACTGCTGTGCAGGACCTGGCATCTTAACTCCCAGACCTTCCTATTGCACATTAACGTCTACATTTATGTTTGTTAGCTTTTTCTCTTTTGAAACGTTGACCCACAGTCTCATGAACCACCCCATCTCTCCCTTAGAGCAGAAATGTGAGAGTGAAGTCTGTTAAGTCAGTGGAGTAAGACAAGGCATATTTGCATCCAAGTGGGAATTTTAGAGTAATCAGCCTTTAACATTGGGGGAGGGGGGGGCATATTCTGTTAACATTCCACATCCTTCAGGTCTTTTAAGTTCCCTCTCCCACATTTTCTTACCTTCTGTATTCAAACGACAGTTGGAAGAAATAAAGCAACTGAAAACTGCGTCCTTAAAGCACACAGACCCTCCTGAACTTGGATAACCCACCCTAGAATGTCTGCGTCTGACCTGCCCCGAGCATCAACCACCTCCAGGGGCGGGAGGCCAGGCTGCCAGCCGGCCCCGACCCGGCCCCTTCACCTGGGCACCGTCTGGGCAGGTGAAGACGGGGGAGATCGGATGGATGCTCCGAAGTGGCGGTGGGAGAACCTATACCCGAAAGTCCCTACAAAGTCCCACCAGACATTCAATAAAGCCACGACCAGGACGGACGGAGGGCGGAAGGGTCTCGGGCTGGGCGGGCGGAGAAGGGACCTGAGGGAAGAACTGGGTGCCGGGGGTGAAGAGGGACACTGGCCCGCAGGACGGGAAAGACTAAGGGGCGGGGACGCCAGGCGGAGCCAGCCTTCCGCCCGGTGCCAGCCCGGGGAGAGCCGGCTCCGGGCAGGAAGGGGCCCGAGGCGGTGGCTCCCTCCCGGGGGACCCTGGGCGCGACGGAGGCCAGAGGTGCCCCGAGAGCCCCCGCCGCCCACCGCCTCCTTACCGTCCGGCATCTCCCGGTCGCTGATGTGCTGCAGATGGTGGCCCTCGCCGGTGCCGAAATCCAACTCTGCGGGCTCCGGGGCAGCCGGCGAAAGCGCGACCGCCACCGCGTCCCCGGCCGCCGCCTCGTAGACCTCAGACGGCTCGTCCGGCTCGGCCGGCCCCGAGCGCCGGCCCATGCTGGGGCTGGCATCCGGCTTCCCGCAACAGGTCAGAGTGTTCCCCATGGGGTGTCCACTCTTCTCGCCGCCGCCGCCGTCGCCGCCTCCGTTCGACCCCCGGCTCCGCCGCGCTCCGCGGGCCCCCCTCCCCCAACAATGGCGCGGCCGGCACCGGCAGCCCCGGGCTGCGCCGCGCAGGCAGGCTCGGCCTCGCCCGCTGTCCGCTCGGCCGCCGGGCCGCCGGGCCCCGGGCAGGGCTCCGGGCCCGGCCGCACCCCCCGCCGCCGCGCCGCTACCGCCTCCCCCGAGTTGCCTAGTCTGTGAGGGCTGCGCCCAGCCCGACTTATTTAAAAGGGGTGGGGACCAGACCGGCGTCGAAAACTACAACCACTGCGAGAAGAGAGCGCAGCCCAAGCTCCTCCTCCGTCCGCAACCGCCTCTCAACTGAAAGCCGTTGTCCGAGCGGGCACCAGCCAACCGGAACGCGCTCTGGGATCACGTGGTGACGAGGGGCCAATCGCGCCCAGCATTCTCGCCACGCGGCCCGCCTCTCAGAGAAGGCGTGACTCACCAGGCTCGGCCCCGCCCCCGCCCCAGCGGACCCGCCCCCAGAGGCTCCGCCCCCAGCCGGCGCGCGGCGGACCCGGGCTTCCATTCACCGCGCGGCGCCCGGAGCTTTCCGGTCCTGCGGGAAGCGAAGCCAAGTCCTCCGTCCCTGGGCTCTACGAAGCCCCCGTTGTTGAAAAAGCCAGTCGGCTAGCAAGTCGGATTCACCGGGTCTGACAGCTCATTTGATGTATTGCTCGGGAGTGCGCTTAGTTTACCCGCATTTGGTGACCGTGTTTGAATCTAAATGCGCCTCCTCTCTGCCACCCACAGTGTTCGTGTGCGCCGGCAGCTCGCCATAGCCACCCCGGGGCCGTGGTCCAGCTCTCAGAGCAGCGATGACTGTGTCCTGAGTGAGCCTCGAGGACACGTCACCCTGCACTTCCTCATCAGTGAAAGGGGACCCAGCTAGCCCCTCCCAGCTCGGGAACGCGGGGCGTCGCCAAGTCGCTTTCCCACGGCAGGAGGCCCCAGATTTTCTCTCTTTTTTTGGTAATATTTTCAATTTATCTTTTTCCTTTGACAAAATCTGCAAACCCAGAACACCAATCCATCAACCAACTTGTCATTCGGAAAATTCTGAAAGCATCGTTTTCTTTTCTTTTTTTAACATGTGTCCATTCTTGCACAAAACAATTTTAAAACAGAAAGGAATGACTATTTTTGAACACATCCTCTGAAAGTGAGTGTAAATGCATGAAGCTGATGTAGTTAGTCGTTTCACAAGGCTTCAGTTTCAGTTTCTGGAACACTCCCAGGTTCATTGAACTCGGTTTTTTGGTATAAAGGCTGTATAATGATGGGCAGGAAGTGGCAACAAGGATGATTAGCCTTTCTCAGTTCTTAAGGTACATGTGCTCCCAACCCTCACAATAATACCAAGTTCTGCTAGTTTTATCCTCAGGTTAATCCAGAACTAACCAGGACAGCCCAGACTAGATGGTGTCACCCAGGCACAAGCAGCTTCCGCCAGGCACACGCTGTCTGTAAGCTTCAAATTGCTTCTTCCATATTGTTTACAAAGCATAAGATTTCCATAAATTTTCTCCCTTGCTAGAAAACGTTGTCTTCCATCTACTTTTAAAATATTTTATGTTGACTTTTCCTGTTAACACCATTACAGGTGCCCTCACTCCCCTCCCCAGCTTGGCCTGCCTCCACCCAGTTCCTGCCCCTCCCCCTCCTTCCCTGCCTTACTGAAATTAGAACCATTTTTCTTGCAATAATTTAACTTATTCTCCTGTTTCTTCTAGGAGCCTTTTTGACAGCAGCCTCCTCAGATCAAGCTGATGTTAGAGACGCTGTAGGAGTTTCATTAAACTTGACAGCAGGGAAAAGTTTGAAGAAGTCTTCTTAACCAGGTTTGTCCCCTAGAAACAAAGCTCATACGCTTTAGGACAATCTTTTCCTCGTGATGACCCTATTGCCCTACTGTGCAGACAAATATGTTTTTTAAAAATATTTTTTAAAAATTGATTTCAGAGAGGAAGGGGGAGAGAGAGACAGAAACATCAAGGATGAGAATCATTGCTCTGCTAGCTGCCTCCTGCACACCCCCCACTGGGATTGAGCCCACAGCCCACACTCCAGATGTGTGCCCTCGACCAGAAATTCAGCCGTGACCTCCTGGGTCATAGGTAGACGCTCAACCACTGAGTCATGCTGGCTGGGCGAGACAAATCTGTTTTTGTCTTCACAGCATAGCATCCATCTTGAAGTACCTCTAGAATTTTTCTATCAGAAGGGATTAGGACAGCAAACTGAATGGATGTAGAGGCCAGGAAACCTATCTTAAGAGTCATATTACATTTGACACCTGAAACTAATACAGAATATTGAGTATAAACTGTAATTGAAAATTTTAAAAAGTCATATTTGACCAGGAAGCACGCTTTTAAAAACAAACCAACAACTTTGTTTGCATTGCAGTGGGGGTGGGGGGTGGGGGTGGCAGGGGGTGGGGGAGGGGGGAGTTGGCGGTCTAAGGCCTTGGCTCCTCTGCTGAGCAGGCCAGGCTTCTGTAGGGTGCTCATTCCATGAGCCTAGGTTGACTAATCCTCCACATCCCATGAGCTGTTCCTTCTCAGTCGTACTTACCACACAGATCAAATACTTCTCTAAAAAAATTAGTTATGCAAGCAGCACTCTGCCCAAGAAAAGCAAAAGAAAACTGAGACCACAATGTCCAAATCCAAACTGCCCTGTTCTTTGCAGCCATAGCATTAGCGCCACCCCACCGTGGCCAACTAGTAAAACTCTACTTGTTCTTTTTCTAAAATTTATCTTTATTGTTGAAAATATTACAAATGTCCCCATTGTATTTCCCCCAAATTGATTCCCTCTAACCCACACCGACCCCACCCGGGCCTCCATCCCACTATTGTCTGTGTCTATGGCTTATTCTCTCTCTATATGTATGTTTTTATTGATTTCAGAGAGGAAGGGAGAGGGAGAGAGAGAAACATCAATGATGAGAGATAATCATTGACTGGCTGCCTTCTGCACAACCCCTACTGGGGATCAAGCCTGCAACCCAGGCATGTGGCCTTGACCAGAATCAAACCCGGGACCCTTCAGTCCCCAGGCCAACGCTCTATCCACTGAGCCAAACTGGCTAGAGCTCTACTTGTTCTTTGAAGCTTATCTCAAGCAGAGCCTTCTCTGCCATGCTTCTCTGATTCCCTCAAGGCTGGAAGATTCTGCATCTTCAGTGCCATTAGTTCTCTGCAAACCCTTACTGTAGGGCAGCCCTGAATCATATTGCATGGAAACTGTTTACTTGTTTGACACCCCCATTAAACTAGGCACTCCCCAAGAACAGACCTATTTTATTGTTTATTAATCCCCAGCACTAAGTATAATCTCTGCCTTGTAGCTGTCTCAATATACTTTTCTTGAATGAATGAATAAATAAAAAGTGGAATTGAGAATACCAACCATCAGAATTGGAGAACTGTTATAACGATTCCTTACTTTTTCGTGTTCTTTATTCTTGTTTGTGCCTCTGCTTTTGGTATCGCGGCCTCTCTAGCATTTTTTAAAACAATAGCCATTTTATAATGCTCACAATTTTGTGGATCAGGAAATCAGGCAGGGCACACTGGGGATGGTTTATCTCTGCTCCAGGATGCCTAGGGCCTCAGCTGGAGTGGATCTAGCAACTGGGCACGGCCCAGATGGCTCACCTGGAGCCACATATCCGGAGTGTCAGTTCCAGGTGTCAGTTGGGTTCCTCAATTCTTCTCCAGGTCATGTCTCCTGTGTCCATAACGGCTTCTTCCCTTACATGTCAGGTGCCTGGCCTGCGAAAGCTGGAACATGTGGGACTGGCCGGACCTCCCTCACAGCCTGGTGGTCTCAGTGTAGTCAGATTGCTTACTGGACACAGATATACAGGGTGTCCCCCAAAAATGTATACATAAGTTAATAGCTGACAGCTCATTTTGAAAATGAAACGTATTTTAGTAAACACTGCCTTTAAAATTATTCAAAGTGTGTGTATTCATTTTGGGAGGACACCCGATATAATCCGAGTGTTTCACTTTTTTTTTTTTTTTCATGTAAACACACGAATCTAAAAAGGGAAAAGTGTGGTGAGCAACATTCCACCAATTAAAGAAAAAAACTTTCAAAGCCAGTTTCTTGTGAAGCTCATCCAGAACATCACCTTACAATGGATGACGCTAAACATCCTGTAAGTCCTATGCACTACTTGGCATCCGAGTGATCCCCCTTTCTTTTTGGTCTCTGAGTTTTTTAGTGGCTAGAAACAGATTTCTGCAGGTGCTTTCAGAAACAAATTTGCCATAGGTTAAGTTTATTCCATCATGTCTCAATTTATGTGCTTGAGAACAACATTTATGTTACATCAAACTGAGAAAAGAGCAGAAATTTTCTAAAACCTACATGATAAGAACATTCTATTTTTCTCTAGTGGTTACTTTAATAGAGCAACTTAGAATCTATGGTATCAGCGGATGAGTTGTCCTCTGTCCAATAAAACCATTGCATGAAACCACGCTTTAAATATTATCTTTGCTACTTTTAACTTGCAATTTCCATGTGAATGTGCACCGTGAAATGCTTTACATGCATAAACTAATACCCACAAAATCCCACGACACAGTAATATGAAAGCTCCACAGGGAACCCAGCTGACCTCATCACAGAAGGATTTTCCCTTCTCCTGGGAAAAAGATGGAATGAACACGCTGTTTGCTGTTGTCTATTTTTGAAGCAAGGTATGCCAATGTCAGTGTGCCCTTCCCCAGAAGTGGAGGAGTCTGTACATCTGCAAAGTCTGCTTAGTGCTCTTTTGGGTAAAAAAATCATGCTTTGCTGGCATTTTATGTTTCTATAAAAGAATAGGAAAAACGTTGCCCCTCGGAGTCCTCGATGAGGTAAGAAGGCTGTGATTAGGTAGCAACTGTGATTAGGTGTCTGTAGAGGAGAAAGAAATGAACAGGGTTAGAAAGATACACATTCCCTACTGGTACCCTTCCAGGGTCTTGACTGAAGGCCAGACAGTCAGAGAGTGAGCCAAGCCAGTTCTGTGGCTCAGAATAATTGGGTAATTGATTGTAATTAAGTAGTAATTAATAATGACTTGAATAATTAAAGGTTTCCTACCTTCAGGCTGTGGCTGGATAGGGTGCTGTGCTGAGCCGTAATGGAACTTGAGGGATAAGAGAAAACAGTAATACTTACCCTGTCTTTACTAAAATTTTTGATATTTTGCTCATATATAGATTTTAACATGATTTTTTAAAAATAGCCCATTAAAATAGTACTGATCTTGATTACTGAGTTTTTTGGTGTCTCCTTAAATTTGGCACCTTTCACAAGTGCCTTACTCACCTCCCCCCAGTGCAGGTCTTGAGCCCAGAAGCAATGTGATGGGTATTTGGATATTATTGCTTGGCCTGCCCTTTAAAAGGAACAAAGGGACAGCCAAATACTTGGGCTGCTCTCTCACTCTTCATGTCCTCAAATTTCCAAATCACTGATATCCAATTACAGTCTGCTCCAGAGTTGAGAGACAGCCCCGTCTTGTGTGTACCATTATCACCCCAATCTATGGACGAGAGACTTAGGCTCAGTACGCATGACACATATGCCTGAGAAGGAGGCAAGGGAGACCTTGAAGGCAGCCTGGCTGGACTCCAGAGGTTGTGATCTCAGCTGCGGGGCTGTAAGAAATTGCCCACCTGCTGTGTGCCCCACCGTTCCGCACGGAAAAAGGTAAGCCAGGTATTTTCTTCTCACTTATTAGTCAGTTACAAGTCATGACAGAATAGCTCCTAATAACTTAATAAGTTGCACTGTCTTTTTCCTCTTACGGAAGCAATATGTAATCACTGATGAAATGAGAAAATACACATCAATGAGAGAAATCAAACTAAATCAAAATCCCACCCCAAGAGCCACCTACTATTAGCATTTTGTTGCATCTCTCTCCAAGCTTTATTTTAATAAAGATAAATTATATGTATATGATTTCAAAATGAAATCATATTCTACACATGCATTTTTTAAAATTCTGCTTTACCAAGAAAAACAATACACCTTTAGCATCTTTCTCTGTCATTGCTATTGTGCAGAGTAATTTGTAATGGCTCCATAATATGTATTCATTTGTTCATGTTACCTACTCTCCAGGCTTAGGTAAGCTGGGCACTGGAGATACGTCAGTTAACAAAACAAAGAATTAGGACCCCTAGGGTTGACATTTAAGTAAAGGGGGCCTTCAAAAAAATAAATGAATAAAGATGTGTCCGTCAATAGGAACACTATTTTGAATGTATCAGGGAGTCTTCTCTGAGAAGAGGCTGTTATGGGCTGAACTGTGCCTCCTCCCCAACCTTCCAAATTCCTAGATTGAAGTCCGAACTTCCAGTACCTCAAAATATGGTAATAAGTTAGAATGTAATAAGTTAGAATAAGGTAATCCATCATGGCCGGTGAGTTTTTAAGAAGAGGACGTGTAGACCCCAGCACATAGAGGGAACACGTAGGGAGAACAGGGCTATCTATAGGGTGTCCCAAAATTCACACAAGATTTGAATTTTGCGTGAGCATTAACAACAACAACAACAAAAAATAAAAGCCTAATTTTACTTGGTTTATTGAATCAGATTCTAATATCTGTTGCCCTTTGATTTCAATCCCTTCAATTTGATAAGCATTACCAAGTACCAATTATGGCCCAGGAGCAGGGACAATGAAGACCAGTGAAGACCACGGCTTTGCGTATGCGCCAGCAAAGCCATGGAGGCCATTTACCCGATGTGCTATTCCATACATAACCTTATACTGTATACTTAATGAATCAATAAAACATTTACAATTTTTAACTATAAACCTGTGTTTTCTATCAAAATTACTTCTTGCGTGAATTTTGGGACACCCTATATAAGCCGAGGAGAGAGACCTGGAGCAGGGCCTTCCTCATGGCCCTCAGGAGCAGCCAATCCTGCTGGCACCTTGATCTTGGCTTTCCAGCCCCAGGAACTGTAAGAAAATTAACGTCTGTTGTGTAAGCCACCTAGTCTGTGGGACTTTGTCCGGCAGCCGTATCTACTACAGGGGCAGAGAAAGGTCTGAATGACTGCGAGAAGGTGCGCGCCCTGCAGTATCTGAAGAACAGTGATTGCAAAGGCCGGAAAGTGGAGTTTGGTTCTTTGCAATAGAGGAAAGCAAAGAGCCAGATTTCTGGAGGAGTATCTCAGGGGAGAATGGGAGGCGATGAGGTTAGAAGAGGAAGCAGTTTACCACTGGGTCCTAACGCACCCTTACAGGCCTTAGAAAGGACTTCAGATTATATTCTGGGGGAAAGAGGAAACCACGGGAGAACCATCAAACCTGGCACTTGAACAGAGGTCCTTGGCTCCAATGAAGCCTAGACTAGATGTACCAAAATACGTGTAAAGCTAAATTATTTAGCAGTGCATCTAAAAGGTTTGCCCTGAGAGGCAGGGGGAGGGGCATCAGGGACATTGGCCCCAAGTCCTAAGCCCCCTTGGTGCCCCTGGCATCCCACTGATCCATCCTGCTGCCCAATCTGATAAACAATCATTTAAAATAAGCCCAGACTTTTCAATGAGTCCTTCTGCACAGGATCACTCAGCCGGACTGCTCCTCCTCCATTTTAAGGCCAGCTGGCTCCTCCCCCACCCCTCCCTTATTATGTCTGTTCCCTCTCTCTGTGTTTTAGACCCAAGCAGCAATCTTCACCCCAACTCAAGCCTTCCTAACTCAGTTGTTCCAACTGCCAAGATTCCACCTTCCTCTTCTCTCCTTAACTCTCTCTCTCTCTCATTTCCTCATTCCTGACTTCCTGGGGAATGGAGAAATGAAAGCCTCATCTGATATCTGCAAATAAAAATTCAGGGAAGTGGACCAAGTACGGGAATGAAGTTAATGGCTACCCCACCCAATTTGGAAACTCCTGTTTTCCTATCAAGTAGAGGTAATGCTGCATGAGCAATAAATGCCCAGTGTTGGACCAAACTTTGAACTGCATGCTCCTCAGGAGGCTTTCGTTAGTTTCCGCCCCCCTCCCATGTTACTGAGGAGTCCTCTCTCATGGAAAGAGCCCCCATCAGTAACTTCCTTTAAGAATGTAAGTAACTGGGTGGGTGGTTGGGAAGAGAGTAACCAAAGAACTTGTATGCATATATGCATAACCCACGGACACAGATAATAGTGTGGTGAAGGCCTGGGGTGGGGCTAGGGGCAGGCTAGAAGGGTTAATAAGGAAAAAAGGGGACATCTGTAATACTTTCAACAATAAACATATTTTAAAAAAGAATGTAAGTAACTTATTTTTGCTTCCTACTTAGTCTTTCCATGTTCTGCACAGCCCCCTACCCAAGACCTACTGATTCTATTAACATTTACTTGTCATTCTTCTATAGGCTGCATTTTGATTATTATTCATTGAAAACAAGAGACCAAACTGATTATCTTTCTCAAAGAGCAACAAACCCATAAAACTGATAACAACAAGCAAAACAAAAAAACAGGGCCCTGGCCAGGGAGCTCAACTGGTTAGAACATCCTCCCAATATGCCAAAGTTTCGGGTTCAATCCCACGTCAGGGCACATACAAGGGTCAGTCAATGAATTCATAAATAAGTGGAACAACAAACTGATGTCTCTCTCTCTCTCTAAAAAAAAATCAATGCATAAAATATTTTCAGAAACATAAACAAAAATACGGTGCCATAAGTAAGTGTGCCAGTTCAGCCTAGACTCTTGGGCTGACTCACTCGACCACTGGTGAGAGCGGGCATTAAAAAGTCAGGCAGTGGTACTTCTATGAGCTGGATACTCATAGAAGGGCCTAAGAAGGGGAGGGCCACTGGCCTGGGTCCTCATTGTCACAAAAAGCCTCAATGCACCAGACTCTACCTATAGTTACAGGGGAGGGTTGGTGGGTTGAAGAAAGACAGTATCACTGTCCAACTTAATTCATGACTTACCATCTCATTACTGGATCACATCTGTCATGAACTATGAGCCAATATTTTTAATACATCCCCTAATGCCCTGGCCAGTTGCTCAGTGGTTAGAGCGTGAGACCTCAGATTGAAGGGTCGCAGGTTCAATTCCGGTCAAGGGCACGTACCTCAGTTGCAGGCTCCTCCCCGCTGGGGCCCTGGTCGGGGCCCATGTAGGAGGCAACCAATCAATGTGTTTCTCTCACATCAATATTTCTGTCTTTCCCTCTCTCTTCCACTATCTCTAAAAATATCAATGGAAAAATATCCTCAGGTGAGTTTTTTAAAAAGAATAATAATAAAATAAAATAAAATATGCCACAGAGAAGCATTTGATATCTTGCTCCTGGGCATATGTCATCAGTTTGGCTCAAACTCTTATTTAAAAAAAAAAAAAAAATACCACAGATTTAGTAACCCTCTTTTGGAATTTCTTTTTCTCTTCTTTTTCTTTCTGCTTTTGGATTGGTTTGGCTTCGTATGGACGTGGCCTGTCTCCTCTTGACCTTGGAAAGGCCTTCAGAAAACCTAAAAACCAGGCAAGGTGACAGAGTCGGGCTCTCCAGCTCTAAGGGCCTCCTCATGTGACTTCTTCACTTAGAAAAATACAGGGTTGTTGTAGAAGACCCAGAGCCACATGAGTTCTTTCCAGGCTAATCACTTTCTGAATTCTAAGACTTTCAGTTTAATTTCACCATTAGGGGATTTTCTGCACCAGAAACACCGAGGCAAGACCAAAAGAAAACCTCCAGGGAGCCCACGTCTTCCAGGAGGAGTGAATCAGATATGCCTCTGGGATGAGGGAAGGGAGGGAACTGATTCTCACCAATTTGCAAAACTAGAGTTTAATCTTTGTGACTGCTAACAGGACACTAACGTGACCCTGTGTTCAGTATAGAAATGACAGCATACAACTGTTTCGCCACATTTGTACTCCATAATCATACTGTCACCTTGGGCTTGAGGGAGCATGACACTGTTTGAAATTCCCCGGTGATGCCAAATATATTTCCGTCAACAGACACTGTTTCAAAGTGCCAGCACTCACTTTAGCTGATTACCAGGGCCTGACTCAAATCACTGAAGGAAACAAACATATCTTTCACTCACTCAAACGGTAAAACATTGAAAACTCAGAAAGTCTGTATTGAGTTGGGAAGCAGTAAAATAAGGCATCTCAAGAGAGGCTAATCAATGTTTTGTTTTCTTTCATTATATTATTGTAACTCTTTTCAGTTCAGGTCTTTCCTCAGACATACATGAAAATACAGTTTATACCAGGGGTGGGGAACCTTTTTTCTGTAAAGGCCATTTGGGTATATATAACATCATTCGCTTAATATAATCACTTATTATACATTCATGTTGCTATGAAAAATCTCCTAGATTTATTGAGTTTCAAGTACGGCCTGCAGTTGCCTTGACAGGGTCAGACCAAATGATTTCTCAGGCCTTATACAGCCACGGACCAGACGTTGTCCACCCCTGGTTTATATCAACTCATGATAGCATCTAATTAATTACTAATCACACATCATTGTTGGTAGAAATGTAAAAATCTGTCTTATACTACAGAACTATGCAATATAGTAAAATACCAAAGTAATATCTAATTTTCAGTATTTAATATGAACTAGAAGCTGTCTTATGTACTTTTATTGGTTGTTTTATATAAATCTCCCAACAACCTCATGAGATAGGAAAAATAACTTGCTGATTTTTATTCTAGGGAATGGCTAAGATTTATATTGAGAACTTATTGTGTGCCAGGCACCATTCTTAGTGCTGTCCACGTATTAACTCACTCTTTCTTCACAAAGCAGGTGCTCTCCTTATTCCCATTTTAGAGATGAGGAAACTGAAGCACAGAGTTGAAGTGGCCTGCCCAAGGCCACACGGCTGTTCATGACAGCCAGCACCCAAATCCTGGCAGTCTGGCTCCAAGCTCAGTCTCTTCCTTACTAAGCAGCTGCTCAATGGTCGTGTGCCAAGCACTGTGTCAAGTGACCTTTGTGTGTAATTATCCCTCCTGGAGGAGCTCACTGTTTTCCCATTTTTCAGATGAGGAAAGTGAGGCACAGGCCACTTCTTCAGGGCTTAACACCTGGTCTTGCCTGCCCCCAACTTCATATTCTCTCCATTTTAGTGCACAGGGACAGTGGGTATGGGTTCAAAAGGTGCATGCTGACTCCAAGGAAAAAGTAAACACATTGTGAGAGTCCAATTAATTGGGTTTTGAAACAGGAGAAACACCCCATAAACACACGAGACAGAGGAGGTAAGGAGACAGCACACGTCCCATTTGTCTCTCTGCACCTTTCAGGGTTCTGGCCCCGAAACAGAGAGTGAAGAAGCTGCCATCTTCAGAAATCTGCCGAGAAGGCATCCATCGGTCTCCGGCAAGCCTCACTTTGTATGGACTTGCCTGGGCTCGGAGACATGGGGTCAGCACCTACCCTCGTGGCTTCTGATTCCAGCCATTTCTTAGATCTTTGAGTTGTCACAGGCTAGTGGTGGAAACAGAAGAGAAACTATTCCTGCAGAATGAAAACCAGCTTGTCATTTTCCTGTTATTCATTTGGAGTTTCCTCTTCCTCACCACTGAACATTGTTAAGGAACATTATTTAAGTCCTAAAT